TTATTATTATTGATTGATAAATTCGCCAAAACTTTAACAAATTCGTTATTTAAACATTTTAACTTTAATCAAAACCCTCAAAAAATTATATAGTAACTCACTAATTTGCTCCAAATGGCTAAAAACTAATACAACACTTAAATTTTGTGTTAATCTTTCACAATCCCTATTAATAATAAATAAATAAATAAATAAATAAAAACTAAAATAAGAAGACACATTTAAGACTTCTAAAAATAAGAACCTTTTGACATCTCAATACTTGCCCACATTAATGGGCAAGCAATTACGTTTGTAAGAGGATCATTGCTCCTCTTATATAGAGGCTCTCTCTCTTTCCAAAATTTTTTAATGTGGGATCCTCTTATATAGAGGCTCTCTCTCTTTCCAAAATTTTTTAATGTGGGATAAAAATGATCCCACATCATTTACAATGGGAGCCCGTGACTCTCCCTTAAATTTTTTTTTTAATTTAATTTTTTAAATAATTTTATTATTATTATTATTATTATTATTATTATTATTATTGTTGTTGTTGGTGGACTTTTCAATACTTGCCCACATTGATGGGTAAGCAATTGTATGTTTGTAAGAGGAGCATTGCTCCTCTTATATAGAGGAGCTCAAGAGCTCCTCTTTCCAAACATTTTCAATGTGGGATCAAAATGATCCCACATTATTTACAAAGGGGAGTCACATTTGTCTTTTTTTTTTTTTTTAATTTCTTTTTTAATTTTAATTTTAATTTTATTTTTATATAGTTTTGTTTAGATTATTATTATTATTATTATTATTATTGTTGTTGTTGTTGTTGTTGTTGTTGTTGTTGTAATTTGATTATTTGGTAAATTCGTCAAAAAAATTTAAGAAATTCGTCTGTTTAACATTTTATATTTTATCAAAACACCAAAAATATTATTTAATAACTTAACAATTTGCTTGAAACTGCAAAAAAACTAAAACAACTCATATGCATTTTTGGTTAATCTTTCCCAAACCCCCTAATAAATTACAAAAAAAAAAAAAAAATAAGAAGCCATTAAGATAAGTTTTCTTAAATAAGAGCCTTTTGACACGTTAGGTTTCAATAGGTTGAGAAAGTTTATATGAACAGATACTATATATAACAGGGTCAATCAAATAGTTATGCTGTGGAACCGTGTCCACCTTGCAACCAATTATGTAATATTACCAATTAATAGATTTTATTTAATTTCCATTTGACATTTACTTACCAAATATGTTTTACTACAAAAGTTGAGACAGTATCAATAGTTATGATGTTGAACCGTGTCCACCTTGCAAGGTGGACACAGTTCTATGTTCATAAATACTGAACTATATGTTCATTATTAAAAAGCTATATATTAATAATCTTTGAACTTCATATTCATAATTATTGATCTCTATATTCATAATTACAGAACTCTATGTTCATAGTTATTGAATTATATATTCACTCTTCCAAACTCCAACCCTAGAGAATAAACTAAAAAAAAATTGAATTATATGTTCGTAATTATAAAGATATATATTCATAATTTTTGAACTTCATATTCACAATTATTGAATCTCTATATTCATAATTACATAACTATGTGTTCATAATTATGTTCACAACAATATGTTCATAATTATAGAACTATATGTTCATAATTTTTTTGAACTATATATTGATTATATTCATAATTATGTACAATTTTTGAACCGTGTCTACCTTGCAATGTGGACACAGTTCCACAACATAATTTATCAGGTCAATAATACTAAAAAAAAAAAAAAAAAAGCTTTGGACTTTTCAAAACTTGCCAACATTGATGGGCAAGCAATTGTATGTTTGTAAGAGCATTGTTCCTCTTATATAGAGGAGCTCAAGAGCTCCTCTTTTCAAACATTTCCAATGTGGGATCAAAATGATCCCACATTATTTACAAAGGAGAGTCACATTTGTCTTCTTCTGATTTTTTTATTATTTTAATTTTAATTTTATTTTGTATATAGTTTTGTTTGGATTATTATTATTATTATTATTATTATTATTATTATTATTATTATTATTATTATTATTATTATTATTATTGTTGTTGTTGTTGTTGTTGTTGTTGTTGTTGTTGTTATTATTATTGTTATTGTTGTTGTTGTTGTTGTTGTTGTTATTGTTATTGTTATTATTTTAATTTAATTTTATTATTATTACATTATTATTTCATAAGTTTTTTATTTATACTTGAACAATAATATTATCAATTATATTATAGAATATAATATCATTCATAGTATTACCAATTATGTAATATTACCAATTAATAGATTTTATTTAATTTCCATTTGACATTTACTTACCAAATAGGTTTTACTACAAAAGTTTTGGGGAGAAAATTTGTTAGGAGGATTTTACTTTTATATATATATATATATATATATATATATATATATATATATATATATATATATAGATTCTTTATTAACGTATAATAATATCAACTAATTTACGAGTGATTAATGAAAAATAATAATAAAATTCTATAATGGCAAACAGCAGCATGACCATGGTGGCAGGTGGCGTGGTGGTCATTGGCTCATGGCCCGTGGCCATTAGCTCTTAACCGATGAACTGATTAACATTGCAAGTAAGATGTAAAGAGAGAAGGGAGAATGATAGACAATAGTATATGGGTAATCTCCATTTCATTAGCATCCAAACTATACAACATATGTAAGTATATATACAATACAAGTATAACGGATACAATAATGATATGCTTAATTACCGGACCATTACGTCCGTTACATAATAATGTCCAGTAAGTATATATATTTATAACAAAAATCACAATAAAAATCTTCATATCATTTCGTATAACACGTAATTAACATAAACCACAAACAAACTGGCACTAATTACAGGGCATAAGTTCACAACATGTTGACTCACAAACGTTAACATTAATATTTATTATGAATTCAATAAATTTGGTATTATTACAATCAATAAATTACATTTTGAAATCATTGCAATGAATAATAAATTTGCAATGATTAGTAACGAAGTTACTTAATAGCATGAGAGCATTTTTATTTTGTCAAAAATACAATGTATGTATGAATTTATTAGAACACAAAATAACAATAATCAAGAATATAATAGAACTTGTAATCAGACACGCATATATAGGAAAATGGTGTCACAGTATCATGCCTTCATGTTCAAACTCAAAGTCAAAATGTATGAAAATAATGTTGACTTCGTAATCGTTACAAATTCAAAACCTTCACCATCCATTCCACTATAAATTAGGATGACTCAAGTCCACAAAAATCACAAAAAATCTCAACCCAAAGAAGAAAAAGAAAAGAAAAAAAGAATGGCAGCCATAGTTGGTCGCATTCTCATTCTTGTAATGGCAATGGCTCTCTCCACACCCTCATCTTTCGCAGGGTCTCCGGTTGTGAATTTCATTAATGAAATGGATGGAAGTGCGCAACCACCAAGCGTGGCCTTCGTCTGCAAGCAAGGAGGGCTTTCGAGAGCCCGATTTAACCTCGTACCAGGCCAGAAACATTCATTCGAGGCTACACTAAAAGGTGTTTATGACTGTGATGTCTATTGGGGGTGGTTATTCGATTCCGTCGAAGGTTTCAAGCCTTCAAGAGACAAAGGCCAAAACACTGTCAATTGGAAGGTCGACGAACAAGGACTTTCTCTGAGTTATGATCTAAAGAGTTGGGAGTTGGTTGAACCATGGGAGATTGATTAGGCTTATTTTGGTTGTATTAACTTTGGAGTTACATTGTTACTTCATGGCGGAATTTAATCTATACTATCTATACTATATATAAAAATAAAATCCTAAATTTTAACTTTCTACCCAAAATCCTCAAATGTTAATATATTATTTTCTACTTTTCTATTCGTACATTAATTCTACGTTAAAATTCGTATTCTAATATTGTAAAATAGTGTAATACAATGCCTAATAGAATATATTGTTTCATACTTTCCTAATCGTACTACAATTCTTACATTAAAATTCAATACTGATAAACCCAATTAAAATCAAACTCAATCTCACAACTCCATGTTGTACTCAAACACTCCTAAATCACATATAAATATAGCGCAAAACTCAGCACTCCATCACCAAGAATGAAACAGAAGATTGAGGAAGAGCAATTTGGAGTTTGGCTTTTCAATCAGGTAAAATTTATAATGTTTGACGGAGATTTTAAAATTTTGGATCGTTATAATTGTTTTATTTTTGTGCTGATAAATTCTTAACCAGATAATTTTCATGCATTCTAATTAGTATTGTGGAATGTGCTCTCAGCTCAATATGATCTAGAAAGCACAACATGTAACACCCCACTTTTCTTAAACTTAATTAAAGTACTAAAACCAAATTAAGATAAACTAAGCAGCGGAACTAAAAACAACTAGATAACATAAGAGGTGTCACCGCCACAATCACTGCCCATGGTGACTGCACAGGCTACAAAAGGGATCTAAGAGTTAAGCTCAAAGTAACTACAACCAAGTATCTAGGGGCTGAAACCTCGGTGTCCAGCACCAACAAAAGGATAGTCGACTACAACCCAAACATAACAAGGAGTTTAGACTACAAAGTTATGTAAACTAAGCTAGTCTAACTCATGCTCTCTTTCTTACGAACTGGGCCCACTTGAAAGGGGTTCACAAACAACAAATAGCAAACAAAACCCGTTAGCACAAAGCTAAGTATAACGCCACTCAACCCTGTAAAGTAATACAGTATATACTGTAACACCTCACTTTTCTTAATCTTAAATACAATTCTAAAACCAAAATTTATATAAACTAAGCAGCGGATAATCAACTTAATAAATAAACTAGTGGGAATGTCACCGCCACAACCACCACTCCATGGTGATTGCAAAGGCTAAGAATGGAACTAAAACAATAAAACAAACTAACATTCATATTACTTAATTAAGAGTCATTTGGGGGAAACCACCCCGAAGTCTAACATCAAACATAATCATCAAAGTCTACAAATCCATCAAAATAAACATCATGATAAAAATACTAAGAGTTTAGACTACTAGATTTACTAAGCTAGTTTAACTCGATCATCTCTCAAACGTTGGGCCCACCTGAAAGGGGTTTTACAAAACAACACATAGACAGGTAAGAAAACACCGGTTAGCACGAAGCTAAGTATAACCACACGTACTCAACCCTGTAAAGTACTATAGTATATACTTTGGAAAAACATTTGTTCACAAACTCGATCAAATCAAGCAATCTCAACACTTAGACAACTTTAAGATACATCACAGACTTTCTATATGCTCGCAGCCTATAACATCAACAGGCATGCTTCAAAAATAAATAACTCATCAACATGAATATTCCAACACATATTCCTCATAACAAATCTCATCATAATGAACTCATACTATCAATCAATTTCCTACTAACAACCAATACGAAATTATCATCATGCTTTCAAGTTCTCATCATGCAAACTAGATATATAGGACATCAAAAATGCAACTACAGGAATCATGCTCAACATACAGTCTCGGTTAATCATTCTCATATGCAATCTAGTGCAATACTATACTCAAATGCAATCTCGTGCAAACATTCTCATTATGCAATCTTGTGCAAACTATAAGTATACTCATACACTCGTTTGTAAAAATAGATTACTTTTCTGTGGAGATTTCTTAGAGCCACGAGGACTCGCTTGCTTTCTTTCTTTTTTAGAGTCGCAATGACTCGCTTTCTTTCTTTCTTTCTTTTCTTAGAGTCGCAATGACTCGCTTTCTTTGCAAATGAACGAGGTAGGAACTTCACCTTATCGTGAACGAACCTATCCGAGCACGGCGTCTAGCCGGCCTAATACTCATCTCGTCCACCAAACCACTCTCTTGGTTCTACGCTCAAATTCTGTGGAATCAAGTATCGAACTTTTAGCGTGCACACCCCCTGACCAGGATTCCAAGCCTGGCGGACAGTTTCCAACCTCGTAACGTGGAAATACACCGTGTTACATGTACTGGGACCGCAATATCCATAACATTCATCCGAGAGGACATCTCATATATGCAACACTTAACTTATGCAAAAGACATGCTCATACTTCTCAATTCATTCTCAAGGATAAGATAAAGATGCTCTACGTGGAATGAGATTTCTGGAAAATAATACTTAGGCTCACATTGGCCACTTATACACTTTTAAAACATGGTCTACTTGGAATACAATTTAATGTACAACATGCTTCAAATTAAATATCACAGTGAACTTTCAAGAACACAACAACATGTTTGTTTTGCAACATATCAAACTCTACATATTTCTACCATCAAAATAGACTCCAAATCCCATTGATCAAACAACACATTCTAGTCATGCTTTTCTAATAATTCTTATTCTCAAAGTGATCATGCTTCTATAGTCATTACACAAATAACATCAGGGGAACAAAACAAAGCAATTCCCTATACAGTGAACTAAAGCAAACATACTGTGAAGCAATTTCATCACTAAATCCATCATAACATGCTCATTTTTAATCCAAATTCAACGAAATCAAAGCCAAAACGTGTGTCGAGACAGCCCCGAGGTACCGAGCCATAAGAATTTCTAATAATTCTTATTCTCAAAGTGATCATGCTTCTCTAGTCATTACACAAATAACATCAGGGGAACAAAACAAAGCAATTCCCAATACAGTGAACTAAAACAAACATACTGTGAAGCAATTTCATCACTAAATCCATCATAACATGCTCATTTTTAATCCAAATTCAACGAAATCAAAGCCAAAACGTGTGTCGAGACAGCCCCGAAGTACCGAGCCATAAGAGCCCGTGACACCTGACCCGAAACGACACGTAGCTGAGCCACAAGGGCCCGGCCACTGCACAGAAATAACTCAGTGACCATGGGGCGGGGCTCCACATGGCCCGCCCCTCTCAGGCCGTAACTTGCCGGCCTAGGGCCGTGCCCTAGGCCCGGCCGGCCACGGATCTAGCCAACGGTCCCCTTGTTGGGCCGTTGGCTAGGGCCGTTACTCCATCGGATCGCAATGTCCGTTGCTTTCTCTTTTACTCCGAAAGGACATAGTCCAAACGGGTCCTCCAAAACAAGATTTTCCTCACAATAGATATATATAGATATCACTCGTGCAATCCAAACATGCACAACTTTCCTTATGCAACTATGCACATAACTTCTCAACTCATTCTCAATATGGCAAGATAGTGACTTTCCTACATGGATATGAGTTTTTGGAAAATAATACTTAGGCTCACGTTGGCGACTCATGCACTTTTAAAACATGATATACTCAACAATGCCATTTACTGTAAAACATGCTTCTTTCTCTTATTCACTATGAAAACTCAATACACTAGTACAGATATGCACATTCACTACCCTTGTAAAGGGTCATCCGCTACCCTTGTATAAGGGTAGTGGATACGAGGGACGCTGAAAGTCGTGAGCTTTCCGCTACCCTTAGCTTGTATGGAAGGGTAGCGAATATTATTATATTTTAAAGCATCCGCTACCATTCTTACAAAAGAAGGGTAGCGGATTATTTATTTTTTTTAAAAAAAAAATCATTTTATTTTTAAATCCCCCCATTTTTTAAAAATCCTATACAAAATTCATACACTACATATCAACACTACATATTAACACAATATTATCAACACACAACACACTACATATTAACACAATATTATCAACACACAACACACTACATATTAACACAATATTATCAACACACTACATATTAACACAATATTATCAACACACTATATCAAATACTAAAGTAAAAGTAAAGGAGCAAGATCACTTATTTCTAATGTAATAATTTGTTATTCAAAGTGATGAGCATGCAACCAAAACTAAAACTTACATAATAAATTTGCATATGATAATAGATACTTTATACTTTTTAAGTATATATGCATATATAAAATGAATGAATAAAGCACATGATCTTTAAATATGATTAGCATGCTACATTCATCACATAGATCGATCATAAATAAATTCAGTGTATAGTGTATTTTTTTTTTTGAATACTATTGTACTTAAAAGCTCATAATGAAACGTTGACAAACCTCTCCATTGCCGTCTTCCTCATCATCATTCTCTTAAGACTTGGACTTATCAGACTCTTCCTCATCACCTCCCGCCTATTTGTCAATCACAAGAAAGACTCAAATTAAACTTCAAACATAAAACATACTAAAGAAACAAGACAACCAAGATAACTATACGAATTGAATAATATATGAAAACTTATTAACCTTTTCTTAGTCGTAAGCTTCCATCTGTCTGTTGTAGTCCTCCTTGCGCTGCTATGCCTTAGCAATGTAAGGAGCTTTCTCCTAAATTTCAAATATTTTCATTAAAAATGCTCCACAACCCATTAAAATGATGAACCCAACTGCAAATATACCAAATAGCAAACAATTTACCCTCAATACCTATAATTCAAGTATTCAACTACTGAATATAAAAGCTAACATCCAAGCCAAAGCAACCCCATAAGCTTAATTTCTTCAACCGGCTGTGTTTAATATATGAAGTGATGGTGTAAACTATATGAGAAGACACTCTAGTATCTAACTAATAAACAACAAATATATGAAGAAATTTTTTCATGAAGTTATAGAAACAGATGTGCAAAAAAAAAAAAAAAAAAAAAAAGAAGAAGAAGAAGAAGAAGGACCAGTTTAAGAAGAGGATGAAAATAGAGAAGTTAGAATGTGAATTACAGCTTTAAACCCATTGTCATCTGCCATCTTAACCCCAAACTCTGCCAGATTTATAGGTAGATAAAGAACTAAAATTACATATCAATATGCACTATCGCTAACAAGAACACTTAATAAGGCAGAGAATACCTACAATCGAACATCAGGACATTGGAACCCGCTTTTAGCCAAGTAATGCTCCACTAATTCATCAGGAATCTGATCAAATTTGTTAGAGAGAAACAGTAAATTTAGGTGTCCTACATTGATACTTTGTAGACTAGCTAAGTTAATGGGGAAAATCAAGCAAGATTTTTTTTTTTCTGTATCAATTTGCTCTATAGTCTACAAAACAAGATTATATAAAACAAATTCATATATTTGCAGAAATTGAGAAAAATCTTACTGTGGGAGTATAATCCATCAATGAAGTGAGGAAGTCAGCGATGGCAGTATCATCATCGTGTCTTCCTTCAGGCTGTTGTTGACCCTGACTAGTATGGTTCATCTTTCTCACACCAATATTAAGTTCCACAAGTTCTACAATTATAGGCATGTATATAGAGCATAAAATTAAATAAAATCAAACGTTGAGTATGAATTACTAAGCAACAAGATATAATAAAGTAGTGTTTTTGTATTCCAAGTTTTCTATCAATGCTGCCCAAAACATACTGCTCACCGAAAAAGAAAAGGGCAGTGATCAGCCTATATATACTTTTACCTAACTATATGAGGAATTTCACTTAGAAATGGCAATATCTATGGTAATTACATTCAGTAGCTAATCCTACTTTCTATACCAGTGTTAAAGCAGAAGTCAGAAGACCCTCAACTACTCATCCTACTTTCTATACCAGTGTTAAAGCAGTGATGGTGTAAACTATGTTAGCTATGTTCTGTTCTAATAATGTCTTTAGGACTTGCTCTAATTCATCTTTCCCACTTCCAGAGCTCTTTCTGAACTTTTCCACCTCATCATAACATCATTTATCAAGATCATATTCTATTCAAATGCCATATCAATGTTTTATCAACTAGACCGTTAATGACAATGAGAGCTGCAAATATTCAAGTGCAAGAGATAAATGGAAACCAACATACTTCTAGAAATAACCATAAGATTAAGTGCAAATATAATGCAAACCACTTGGATGGCAATGTTTCACCTGCAAAATCCCGAGCAAAAGTGGCAAAATCTCAGGCAACCTAAGCCTCCAGAAAATTGAGCTGATGACAAAATGTGAGAGCAATTGAATAGTGATGCACCAAAATTGGGGGTATCATAGTCAAGTAACCAAAAGTGGAAAAAACTCTTAGAAAACTAAACCATTATTTAACTAAATTAGAGGTCTGGGTTAATTATTTTCAGCCCCCACCCCAATCTCATGCATATTGTACCTGCAATTAAGGGTTCCTTAAGTAAATAATCGAAAACCCCAAAAGAAGAATCATCTAGAAAAGAGAAATTACACTTCAATTCCCAGGTTGAAACCTAGCTCGAAACAGCTATCATCTGCTCAAAAAGAAAACAGATATCAGCAATCTCTGTCTAAACAGAACTAATTTAGTCCACGAAGCCCCGGATCCAACTAAATCCAAGCTAAACGCGAAGACACAGATCAAGCGAAACACATAAATTCATTTCAATAACATTGGCACCCCAAATGAATTGAGAAAGAAAAGGACGAAGAAAGCAGAAAGAGAACCTCGTAGGTGGTTCCATCGAGCTCGACGATCCAGCCAGCCTCAGCACAGAGTGCCTTGAGAACCTCGTTTGTCACAGTGCTTGGGGAGATTGTAGTTTATATACTAAAAAACTTATCGTATTAGCAATAGTGGAACCGGCGGCGGCGGCTGAGAACCACAGTGGCGGTGGCGACGTCAGTGGCAGGCGTCATCGACAGTACGTGGAGGCGTCGTTTTCGGCTGGGTCTGGTCACCGGTAGCAAACGAGAAGAAGAGAGGCGTCATGGGTGGCTGATGAGAGTGGCGCTTGAGTCCTTAGCTTGGTGTCGGCGGCGGCATTTGATCGGGGCTGAGGGAATCGTGGTGAGAGAGGCGGTGTCGACGGCGGAGTTGCGGTCTGTGGTGAGGAGCGACGGCGAAGAGTGTTGGAGAGGTGTGAGAGTGAGATCTGGTTTGTGAAGACTGAAGAGGCGTTGAGGGTTTTTTTTTTTTTTTTTTCTTTTTTCTTTTTTTTTTTTTTTTTTTTTTTTATTTCCCGATCTAGTTTCCGTTGCCCTTTCTAAAAGAAAGGGTAGCGGAAAGTTTATCCGCTTTAATAAACCGGCGGCCTATTTTTTTTAAAGAATACACTACCTTTGTTTAAAGAAGGGTAGCCTAAAGTCAAATTTCTTTGCTACATTTTGTACTAGTGATAAATACTTAAATCATGCTCGTTAACTATAACTTGATAATTCTTCTCATCAAACACTTAGCATGTAATTCAATATGTACTTAGGACTCAAAATGCACATCTTATACTCATTTACTACAATTGAACATGCAAGTTAGACATGCCCTGTAACATTTAGAAGCTAGGCAAGATTCTCAATAAATCATATAGGACACTTTAAACATGCTTTTCTATCAAAACTTAACACATAGTGTTCATGCTTCTCTATTTAACAATCAAAAGATAACAAGCTCAACAAATAAATCATCCAAGTCTGATGCTTCACTTTGCCATTCACTATACTCAACCTCTGCAACAATTATCTCCACAAAATCAACCATAAAAAGGCTCAAACCTCCTCCAAACTCAACGAAATCAAAGCCAAAATGTGCGTCAAGACGGCCCCGAGGTACCGAGTCATTCCTCGTCCGAAACGACACGTAGCTGAGTCACATTTGTAGTTGGCCTTGCAAATGTTGCAAAATGTGTGTGTGTATATATAAATATATATATATATATATATATATATATATATATATATATATATATATATATATATATATATAAACTGGATAAGGCTCCTTAATTATGGAGTCGTGCTTTTAAATTAAGTACTATGTCCATCCGGTAGCCCAACGAATAGGCATTGCAATTGAATATCTTTAAACTGTCACAATTATTAGTCCAAAAATAAAAAATTAAAGGGGGACAATATTGGCACAACACTAATCATTAGCACCCAAACTACTAAAAAGAAAAGAACAATATTGGCTTGGGTATTTTGGCTTCCATCTAAACTCAGTTTTTTAGGAAAAAAATCCCAAAGATGTATCCGAGAGGCTGTAGGCTTTGATGATCTATCCGTTGTCGACATCTATAGGGAACAAAATCATATTGCGGATAGCCTGGCATCGGCGGCGATGAACTTCCAGTTTGGAACCCGTCTCCTTGAAGAGCCACCCTTGAAATTACGAGAGGTGATTTGTCAAGACGCACTTGGCGCAAACTTCTCTAGAAGAACCCCAAAGGATAGACCTGGGGGTTTTGGGTGTTAATGTTGTATGTTTATGGGTAACCCCCTCCTCTCATGATCAAAAAAAAAAAAAAAAAAAAAAAAAAAAAAAAAAAAAAAAACTTGCGCCATTTGCATTCTCCTGATAATTTTCTTTTTAGCCCTCTAAAAATGGATGCATTTCATTTTTGTCCTCTTCCCATCATGGGATTTCCAACTTGTGCAGGTATACCACTTTGTATACATTTTATTACTTGTGCAAACATTTTTTTGTTTTTTTTTTTTTTTTCTGAGTGACAAGAAAAACTTGTGATCATTATTGGAGAGAAATAATTTTATACGGAGTATTATATAATTCAAGCTCAAGTTGTGATTGGTCAAAGATTCTTAGATTTCTCTCAAGTTCTTGACATAAGATTAAAGTGTCCATTTTTAAAAGTGTAGTATGTATGCGTATTTTTGTTTTCTGTTTCTTTAATCTTTATTTTTGTGTCAATTGATTAATTATATTAGCGGTGATAGTTTTATAGGACCGAACGCATCATAAACGAGGTATGTATATACACAATAGGTGATAGAAAATATTAATAATATTAACTGGGATCCACCCAAGAAATAAATAAATATAATAAAGCCCAAGTAAAGGAGATAGGACTAATATTGGACCCAATGAGAATTGAACACAAGTCAATGAATGAAAGTCCAAACAACTCACCACCAAAATAGAGTTAATTTTCAAAATGGTCCTCTGACTATGATCTTTTTTCAAATTGGTTCTATGACTTTTTATTACACTCAAAGTGGTCCTCTGACTATTGAATTTTAAGTCAAAATAGTTCTCCGTTAGTTTTGGTATTAAGTGGGTGTTAAACGAGGGGTAAAACTGGTAATTCTGGATTTTCACTATAGTAAGAGGACTACTTTGGGTGCAATTAAAAGTCAAAGGACCAATTTGAGAAAAAACCATAGTCGGATGACCATTTTGAGAATTTTCTCTTTATAGTTCAAACATGATTTTGTACTCATTTTGATTAAAAGGGGTTGATCTTGTACTTATTTTCATTTTCTAAATAAACAATCTTTTTACTTTAATTGTTAGCTAAAAAATTATTTAAAAAAAAAAATAACTTAGAATAATAATTTTGATTATTAGCCTAATACTTGTATATAGTTGTACAAAGAGGAAATTACACTTTGGGTCCTGTAACTATTGTGGTCTTGTTAATTTGAGTACTTGACTTTTAAAACTAACAATTTAGTCCCGTAACTATGTAATTTTTAACACATTTAGTCCTCCGGCCAAATCGCCGGCCAAATGTTGCCGGAAAAATGCAATTCCTTTAAAATTGTTTATTTATGGGGGTGAATCCGTCATTTTAAGTGTAAAAAAAAACAAAAACAAAAACAAAAAAGGGGGGGGGGGGGGGGGGGGGGGGGGGGGGGGGGGGGGGGAATGGGGGTTCTGTCAACAAATGGCCGGCTTTTTGATGTTATCACTATCATTATGCCATTGTTGATGTTATCACTAATTCACTATCGTTATGCTCAAAGCATCCACCATAACGACGTCGCCGGATCCGCCACCTCCCGCTTATGCCATTATAATATTCACTATTAATTTTTTTCAAAGTTTAAATCAAATAATGCTCAATCCAGTGTTTGTTGATAGGTGAATGTCAAAGGGGAATTTCATGGTGGGGCAGGTGAGGATTTTGAAATGCAGTGAATGGTTGGGTGATACGGCGCCGTTGAAGAAGATAGGGGAGAAGGTTGAGCCCAACGGAAGTGTAGAAAGAGTGGAGAGTGAGTCGGTGTTCGTACACCGATCCGGAACGACGCCGAAAAAGTTGAACATCGCCGACTTTTATGCCGGGTCGTCGGCCTACGATTCCTCCCCTCCGCCAAGCTCCCTGCCCGTCCCAGGATTCTTCAAGAAGAAAACCATCCTTGTTGAGAACAACTACGCAACCGAAGAAAATGGTCTGTAAATGGTCACTTGCGATGCTATTAGTGCACCTGTGAAGATGATTTTTCTCATAATTAGCTGCAGTCCCTGACCAGATAACCTTTTCTATTTTTTTTTTTTTTAAAAACTAAAAATGACGATTTTACCCCCATGAATAAACAATTTTAAAGGAATTACGTTTTTCCGGCAACATTTGGCCGGCGAGTTGACCGAGAGGACCAAATGTGTTAAAAATTACATAGTTATGGGACTAAATTGTTAATTTTTAAAGTCAAGTACTCAAATTAACAAGACCACAATAGTCACAGGACCAAAAATGTAATTTACTCTTGTACAAACTAACATTAACTTTCGATTAACTCTTTATTATTCAGGAATGCTTGTATTATGTATTTGAATTTTGATTTTCTATGACCATAAATAGGCATACATATAATGACAAAACTATTGTGAAAAATTACAACCAAATGGACAACAGACATAAATCATTGCTTACTAAAAAAAAAAAAAAAAGACAACAGTTAAATACAAACGGATAAGAAAGATAATAATAATAAAATCATTGTCTATTACAAAAAGACAATATTGGTTTATAGGGGCAAAACCAAAAATGTCAATCAGTGGAGGCGAAATATTTTTTAAAACTTCAAAACGTGATAGAAGATGAAAATAAGTACAAGATCTACCCCTTTTAATCAAAATAAGTACAAAATCATGTTTGAACTATAAAGAAAAAATTCTCAAAATGGTTCCCTGACTATGACATTTTCTTAAATTGGTCCTTTAACTTTTAATTGCACCCAAAGTAGTCATTTGACTATAGTGAAAACCTTGAATTACCAATTTTACCCCTCATTTTAACATCCACTTAACACCAAAATTAACGGAGGACCATTTTGACTTAAAATTCAATAGTCTGAGGACCACTTTAGGTGTAATTAAAAATCAAAGAATTAATTTGAGAAAATGTCATAGTCGGAGGACTATTTTGAGAATTAACTCTATTTTAGAATTACAATATCCCAGAAAATTATAATTCCCAAAATCTGTGTATCCGTTTTTTCGATTCAACCATAAAGTAGGTATGACTTTAGCAGATTTTTACCAAATGTTAATATATTTGGTTTTTATTAACTAATTCAGACAAGCAAGGTTACATGTCATTTTGGTACTGAATTCATTTCATATTTAGTTATTATATGAATTATATTCTTTATTAACGTATAATAATATCGATTAATTTACAAGCCACTAATGAAAAAAAAAATCTATAATGGCTAAGACCATTTAGGCATTTAAACAATTACACAATACACCATATTAATTTCTTTTTCTAATAATGATATTTTTCCTTTCTTGACCTCTTGACATGGTAATAAGATTATTTTATTCATTAGCTACCGATCCCACCTAACTTTAAGAAATGAATTGAAATATATTTAGGACCATGCTAGATATCTCTATATTACCACTTACAACTGTCACTCTCTAATGTGGCAAGTTTTAATTGGTTGAGATTTAAAAAAAAAAAAAAACAAAGAAAATAAACCTATTAAAACCTGTGACATTGGTAAGTTTGTGAGGGGCGGGTAAATAGAATTTTTTATATATTTATTAGGCAAATATTAAATTAACCAAAACACGTAAAGAGAGGATAGAACATTAGGAAGAGAATGTATATATCATTACTCTAGGAAAATATTTAGCATTAATTCTATTTCCAAATTGTTTTTAAAAAAATCTTATTCCATTCCACTATAAATTAGGACGACTCAAGTCCACAAAA